ATATCTAAACAAATTTTCTACATGAATTTAAACTTTGTGTGGATTTGTTTGCTTTTGCTTTATCGAAAACGCAGCAAATTCAACTGTACTCATAAAATTCCATGCATCAATATTGATATTTTTGGCGATCACCTTTTGCTTCTAATCCCGTCGACACTATCGACTTTTCCATTTCTTACCACCGTGATTAGACCCTAAAGTATTCTAGTTTACTCAAAGCAGCTAGCAGCATTCTATTTCATTCCTACAATGATTTCAATGCTGCTGGCACCCATCAAATTAATTCCCTTAAATTGCCTTTTCAAACCCGTGTTTGGAAAAGGATATAATTGTCTGTTGTCGAAAAAAATCAAATTATGATTGGAAGTACTCTGCTTCACCCTTTTGACGATCCACTGAGGACACCTATTCATTGTGGTGGGTTAATTATGCAGTTCAGTCCAGGTTACCATACCTAGTTCCATCATCACTATTTGTCAAGTTGCCCCCTAAGCATGAGCTTTGTACCCAGCTTTTTAATTACTTACCAAAAGCATTAAACCCACTACCGCTGATCTACGGAGTCATATTACTAACCTTACCAGTTGAGCGGCCCCTTAATATAGCAGATACAGCATAGCGGTTCTGGTGGTTGGACACCTCAGCATCGACACACAAAGCGCAGCAGCATTAGCGGGAACGTAGGACATGACAATGACGAGGAGGCCTATATCAGTGGTAGAGTGAAATTGACTGACTGTAATGGCGTAAAAGTTGGCTGTGTGCGGAGGTGTGAGAGGCGTGTATTGAGGTGGGTGGGGTGGGTTGGCAATGGCGAAGCATGGTGGTGTGTGGTGGTAGGGTGCCATTATTAACAGAAGCAGCAGTAGAGCGATGATTGACACAATGCTCATTCCTGATGTATGCATTTCCAAGGCAGTAGTTTGTTTTGCTATGTTTTCAATGACACAAGTCAAATTGCAGACAAATTTCACTTTGCAAAAGACAATCATTTTCACATGCGGTTATTAGACTTTAAAAATACATTTCTAATGTTAATCTGTATAATTCCTCAATCTTGATCATGGTGCAGCAACTGGTTTTAGTTTAATATTGCAGAGTGTACGGCAGGAGAATTAATGCCGGAATCCCTGAGGGTCATGAAATCCAATCAGTCCATTGGAAGAAAAGATAGGGGGAGATGACGTGTGGTCCCTCTGTTTTTGTCTTGTATTCCAAAGGTCATTCACCGCATATCCACAGCTTCGCGTCCACTCTGCGTGCGGTTCTCAACGGTTGGCATATTGATGGAAAGTGACAGCCTGCCGTAATCCCCACCGCATATTCCTCCACCTGTATATCCTAACAGAAAACTATTAACACAGCTAAGCAATGTGTTCAATCCCAAAGATTACGGTAGTGCAAGTCTTGGTCTCAGGTATAAATCCAGCGTCCATGTTAACGCGTGGGTTAGCGTATTAAGGCTGGATGGCATGGGCTCCACGCCACTCCAGCGGCCCTTCATTCCTTCTGTGTATCAGCAATGTGTGTAATTTGCCCTCGCAATTTGACCAGATTTTGGTTCAGGAAAGTCTAGGAAGATGAATATTTTCTATTTTTGAATCACCAAAGATAATGTGAAGGAGAAAGGAACACATGCTGTGCAAAGGATAATCTTTTACGAATCCTAACAGAAAAATGAATATTGACGTT